TGTGCTCAGTTTCTCCACATTCACCATTAAGTGCTTCTGATCGCGGTTTGATCTCTCTAAAACTAATATTTCATTATTCTTCTTTATCAGAATCCCCCTATAATTGTACCATCTTACAACTACCTTAAAGCTAATTGGAACTCTTTCCGTAATTTTCTTTGTGATTGCCCTTGGGTAAAAATATTTTGTTTTCCTGTTGACAAATGAGCTTCTTACATAACGTTGTGGATTCAATCTGGCATGGAATTTTTAATTCAATCTCGACTATTACAGGTAAAACCTCACTCTTCTCCACAGTTTTTCTTGCATTTTGCCGCTGTAATTTCCAATCGAAACCGTTACTTCCATATCTACCAGCAAAAAAGTTATCGAAAAAAAAGACGTCTGTTTATTACTGTTAGAAGCCATTGTAAAAAGTTTTTGTTAAACGCCAAAGCCTGCTATTCTCAGGTCATGAATCAGGTCATGATCTCGTATTTTATCATAAAAATTAGGCTCTCATGACATATGGAAAATCTTTAAGAGTATCAATTATAAGGGCAAATCTGTTATTCCACCTCTCTTCTATGGTTCTGAATTTGTCACCTTAAGACAGAGCTGAATTGTTTGCTAAGAACTTTTCGTTTATGTCATCTCTTGATTCCACAAGTTGCGTTCTACCTGATTTAGCTGTCAAACAGGTTGATCCATTGTTTGACATTTGTATCACTCCAGCATCTGTATCTAAAGTGATTTCCTGCTTAGACTCTTCTACAGCTTGTGGTCCGGACAACATACCTGTTATTATCTTACAAAAGTGTTCTTTGTGGCTGTCGTCTATACTTTTAAAACTATTTAACAAGTGCTTATCAGAGTCTTGTTTTCCAGCCGGCTGGAAAGCGGCATTTTTTATTCCTATTTTCAAAAATTCTTGAGAGTGATTTCTCTCTTCTAACTACCATCTCATTAGTCTTCATTCTATCGTAAGTAAGGATTTTTTAAATCTTTAATTAACAAACACTTAATCTCTCATCTTGAATCTAATAACTTTCTGATCATCATAATGGATTTTGATCTTCTCGTTCTCCAGCTGATTTGCCAACAGTAATAACCGATAGGTTTTATCGTACATTAGATAAAGGTGGAGAGGTTAAGGTTATCGGTCTTGGTGTTTCTAAAGGAACATTTCTAGGAAGCCATATATCAAATTTGTTGCATTGCAATTTGTTGCGTTGCAAATTAGCATCTTCTTATGTTGCATCTCTTTATCGAGCTCGACACTAACTCCGGATTCTGTTCTCTATCTCTATAAATCTCAAACCCGTCCTTGTAAGTAATACTGTTGCCATATCCGGGCAGATTTTCTAATGATGCTCTTTCTCTTTTAGACAAGGTGCAAAAACGCATTGTAAGGATGGTTTGACCGTTTCCTGCAGCCAACATTTAACCATCATCACATCGTTGTAACGTTAGTTCTCTTTCTCTATTCCACAAATACTATAATGGGCATTGCTCTATAGAGCTTGCGTCTTTTGTGCTATCTTTGGGCAGCGGTACCCTCTCGTTTCCGCAAACTTTAGCGGAAAATCAGCGTTTTTTCTCAAAAAAAATAATATTTCTGGTAAAAAACGTATAAAGAAAAAAAAGGTTATTAAATTTTAACTTGGGTGACGCCCAAATCGGCGCCTAAATATATATGTAGTCAGTTAGTAAGTTTTTCTGTAACTGACTTAGTAAGCCAGTGAATAAGTTTTTAAGGAGTCTAATCAATCAATTGTAGCTTGTCATTTATATATAATTTTTGTTTCTAGGAACATTTTTTTTTTTATTAGTCAGCCAGTATTTTTTGAGGATTCACCCCTCCCCTCATTTTATTCGTTGAATCACCTCTATATATTTGATGTTTTTGGTATGACCATGGAAGTATTAAACAAATTCACCACCGTTGATGAAAAAATGGGTCTCAAATTATATAAAGTGTTTATAAGACCACACCTTGAATATGCAGTGTCTGTTTGGGCCCCGTATTTAAAAACTGACATAGCTTGGTTAAATCTGTTCAACGTAAAGCAACAAAATGGGCTTTAAGCTTAAGAAATCTTCAATACTACGAAAGACCTAAAAGACTAAATCTACCATCACTCGAGTTTCGGCGTCTAAAATGCGATCTAATACAAATTTTTAAACTAATACATCGATTTGAAATAACTAATAATATATATCTATTAACTCATTATCACGTGGTCACCATCTTAAAATAAGGCGTGAATATGTTCTAAACGGTCTTCCAAGACACAAACAACTGTATAATAGATCAGAAAATACTGGAATGAACTACCCGAGCAAGTAACTTTATACTCAACTGTATTTTTTTTAAAAATTAGATTAGATCAATGGTTGAGGATAAAATTCGGAACAAATATTTGTAAAACTGGTTGTTTATAATAGGGTGTTTTCCCTGCTCGCTGTATATATGGTATGTATATTTTACGGCAACAACTATAATAATAATAAAAATGGAAGTTCATCAAGATGCAGACGTCAAAGCAATTTCAATTCGTCATGGAAGTACGCTAGTAACTGACGATAATAAAAAAAAAAAAAAAAAAAAACGAGTTTCACTGGACAAATAACAACAAAAATTCACTGAAATGAAAAGTTATTTGTCGTTTCGTTGTCGCTATTTTTAATGTTTATACTTGAATACTATTGGCGAGTTGTCAAAACACTATATTTTCAAACTATTATGAACCCACCAACGTATAAAAATTAAGCTTTTAAGTACAGTATTTATGTTGTTTTCTTTTTGTATACGAAACAGAAGGTTACGAAAATAGTCCTAAAGCATTTCAATGCATTCTGTTATATACTTCCGTGGTTTGACAGGCTATTCTTTAATCAAAATTATCTAATGTCATACTCTTAAGTACTTTGATAGGTCAAATAATTTTGATATGTCAAAGGTCTTAACAGTGTTAAGAGCTTTTGACATATCAAAATTATTATTCAGTCAATCATTTTTGAACAAATTGATATACCATTTATTATTCAGTTACAGCATGATCTGTAAAATAACCTTTTTTTGAATTTAAGTTATTTATTATACAGTATATTGTTCGCAGTTAAGAAGTTATTGAGTCTATTATACGTTTTTATAATACTGAAAAACATGGTAAAATAAATATAGGTTGATAATTAGATATATTTGATTCATCAATAGTTTTAAATTAGGTTATTTTAGAATTTTTAACTTTCTTGAAATCTTATATTGCTTTATGTAATTGCTATATAAGAATCCATATAACTTTTTGAAATTTATTATTCCAATTATTTTTTATTGAATCTTATATGGCATTATTTAATTTATGTAATTGCAATTCAAGAACCCAATTAGTTTTTAAGTTTTATTAGTCTAAATGTTTTTCAAAAAATAACAAAGTTCTAAATGTTACTTTTTGAAAAATCCATTAAATTGTATAATTTGTTAAAACTTAATCTATTAAGTTGTTTATACAACTTTTTTAAAGTTACGTCATCTTTTCAAACAAAAAAAATACTTAGCAAAATTTTTATTACTGTGCTATTTTTATTATTGTGCTATTTTTATCTGATACATATCTTGTTATTCTTGTTTTCTTTTAATTTCTTAATTTTTAATAAAAATTTATTTTGTGTGTATTTGTATGTTTGTGGGTGTGTGTTATTGAGTAACCTTTTTTAAACTGCTCTCATGTTTAACAAAGCAAATGGCATTTTCAAACATTGTAGTAGGAGTGGGGTTGCTATGATCACTTTTTTTTATTCGTATAGAGAATAACAGCGCGAATAAAATTATAGTAATAAATAATACACCATTTTTGCATTAATTATTCAGTAGATATATTTAAAAAGTGATTTTTTTTTCGAAACCTGCCATATATAGACGCGGTATTTCATTTATTAAAATATTATGTTTGTGTACTCCATTTTAATTATTAATATCGTAGTATTTTTAACATGATGGAGTTAACTTAAAATCATCAGATTTAAAAGTATAAGAGTTTAGAACTTTTAGACTAAAATATTTAATTGTTATTTAATTTCATTTTTATTTTGTATTTATTATGCAAACTGTTCTCATGGTAACTATTTTCATGTCCTTAAAAGAATTAATTAATACAACTTTAGTTAAAAGTTTCGGCATAAGGCATTAGATAACGTGAATATATATGTCTGTAATGATCTAATTGTCCCGCAATTATCCTTTTAAAAATATCTCAGCTAGCATTTTTTATACTCTTTTTTTTGAACAAAATGCGTTAACACTGGGTGTGCATTTTGTTTAAATATTTTTTGAAAAATATCATTAGTTATTACGGATAAACAACTCAAGGAAGAGTAAATATGAAAACTTTTCCATTTAAGAAACACAAAACCTGGTAATACATTTTAAAATTCATGAAGTTTTTTTTTTTTTTTTTTTAGTGAGGACCGATGTGTTCTATGTATTAACAGACGCGCGTGAAGCTATTTTTTGTCTATACTTGCATAACTAAGGATAAGAAGAAACTAATAAATTTAAATGTACTTTTTTTATAACATAAAACTTTTTTTAAAACATAAATAAATTTTTAAGTATAAGACTTATTTTATCACCAATAGCAGCACATATTTCCAACATGATAATTAAGTTACATCATAAGTTAAAAAAAAGTTTTCTCAATTTTTTATTACGGCCTTTTGGCTCTGAACCAGCTCTACGGCTCACATGCACCTCTGGGGTTTAAAAAGCTATTACAGCTCTTGTGTCAAAAAGTCTAACTATGGTATGGCTAGAATTAAAGAAAAAAATTATTGTTTACTTCATCCCTATGTAAAAAAAATTTAATTTTTTATTTCATAATAAATTCAGATCATCCCATTAAAACAAAAAATAAAATATTTAATAAAATATTCAGAAATGAATAATTCAAAGGTATCAAGCTGATAGATCATAAAAAAACATATTAAAAATAACAATTTACAAATTTACTATATGCTGATGCTGTTTGCATAGATCTTAACAGTTTAATCCTGCTTATTACGATTAGTTACATAAAAAGAGTAATGTTTTAAGCAAATAAAAATTAATCATCATCTTTTAAGTTTGTAAAATGATTAAACTCAATGTATATATTTGGCTATTCGTACACTTTTTAAACTGTATTGTAGTTATCGGTAAGTAATTTATTTGAATTTAGTAAGTCTTTATAAATAAATACTACTACTGCTACTACTACTACTACTACTACTACTACTACTACTACTACTACTACTACTACTACTACTACTACTACTACTACTACTACTACTACTACTACTACTACTACTACTACTACTACTACTACTACTACTACTACTACTACTACTACTACTACTACTACTACTACTACTACTACACTACTACTACTACTACTACTACTACTACTACTACTACTACTACTACTACTACTACTACTACTACTACTACTACTACTACTACTACTACTACTACTACTACTACTACTACTACTACTACTACTACTTATACAAAGTAAGCATATAGAATTTGAAAAATAGCTCCATTCAACCATTTTTGTGTCTTCTTTAAAGCTAAACTTTGTACATCTATTATTTATTCACAACTTAAACTGATGGTGGAGGAAAGACAGGTGACAAACATTTGGACCTCAATGATACCTTTTTTCAAAATTATAATTTTAAATTCTTTATCAGAAAACATAATTTTTGAGATTGTTAAGTTCAACTCCTTTTAAAACTAAAACGTTTAAGGAACTTTTTTTTTTTTTTTTTTTTGTCTTTTTCTAGGTTTTGTTTTCAAAATGCAATATTTTAATAAGTTGCAAAAGGTTTTCTAATAATACTAATATAAGGTTTTCTAATAAATACATATATTCTTCGTTAAAAAAACAATTTTAGGAAAAAATAACTTATTGTTAAAGCCAAGGATCATACTGTAATTAACTTTTGTAAAAGTGAAATCTTGAAAGTTGCTTGATCTCACTATAATTAATCTTTAAAACACAGATGTAACTAATCAGACAAAAAATTTAATCTTGACAGCACAAACGTAATAAAAATTCAATTACATCTCTGTTTGCGAGAAACCAAATTACTGCATATTATTTCAGAGTATTCAGAGATAAGAAAAAGTGTATTGCTGCAAAAAAATGTCACTCCTTGTTACCCAGCTAGAACAAAAACGTCAATAAAACGTTTTAAAAGACATCATTAAAGAGTTTGAAATATAATTAAATTAAAACTTCTATTATGGATATAACTCTTTATTAATTTTTATACAATATTTCAAGGGATAATTGATACCCTCGTTGTCAAGTATATAAGTATATATAAAAAACTGTTAAATACAAAACAAAAACAAAAACAAATCAATGCAATAGTTTCTTTTCATTTAAATATCGAAACATAGGTTTCCAAAAGGAAGTTGTGACGTAACCTCCGTCTTCCTGATTTAGACCGCCGTCTGAAGGTGAGCATTCATGGCGCTGTATTTCAAGCGCTTCCCTCACTTTTCTGTTAAAATTATTAAACTCTACTTTTAAGGTATTTTTATTGTTCCATGTAAAATTGCCATGACAATTTTTTGAATGCTCCGCTATGGCTGAGTAATCCCAATTTCTTTCGTATGTATTTTTTTGATGTTGGTAAATGCAAGATGAGATTTTTAATTTTGTTTCACCGATATAACATTTTTTGCAGGAGCATTCAAGTTTGTACACACCTGGGTAAGAATTTATAGGAAGAGGAGGTTTATTTTTTGTGGTAAGTATATGTTGTAAATTTTTTGGAGATTTAAAAACTGGTCTATAACCTACTTTTTTGCAAGCTTTTTTTAACTTCGGGCTAATTCCTGGAATCCACGGTAAAGATACAATATTTTTTGATGCAATTGATGAATGTTGAGTTTTAATATTTTGTTTTTTATTATGTAAATTTTCTTTAGTGGTTTTTATAATATGTTTCAGGTTTGTTTTTTTATAACCATTTTCTACAAAAACATCAACTAGAAATAATAACTCTTGTTCAATATTATTATCAGAGCATAAATATAATGCCCTATGAACAAAACCTTTGAAAATTCCGTTAATAATTTTTGGATCATAGCATGAGTTAGGATTTCTTGGATTTCATCTTAGTCTATATTCTCTGAATTAGTTAAGTTAACAAATTGTTGAGAGTTTTTTAAATGCGTATTGTTCTTATTGAGGATGGGTTGTATCATATCAGTTAAGAATTTAGAAATTTTGTATGTAGCCGTTCCAATAGTGGTTACGATAACTCGCATCGGGTAGTTTTTTTCAGGTTTGTGGGCTTTTATGACTCCATACAAACGAGGTGGTATAGCATCACTCGGGTAAAGATTTTTATATTCTTTAACCGTAAATTTTGGAAAAAACCCGGAATTTTCAAAGGTTTTGTTCATAGGGCATTATATTTATGCTCTGATAATAATATTGAACAAGAGTTATTATTTCTAGTTGATGTTTTTGTAGAAAATGGTTATAAAAAAACAAACCTGAAACATATTATAAAAACCACTAAAGAAAATTTACATAATAAAAAACAAAATATTAAAACTCAACATTCATCAATTGCATCAAAAAATATTGTATCTTTACCGTGGATTCCAGGAATTAGCCCGAAGTTAAAAAAAGCTTGCAAAAAAGTAGGTTATAGACCAGTTTTTAAATCTCCAAAAAATTTACAACATATACTTACCACAAAAAATAAACCTCCTCTTCCTATAAATTCTTACCCAGGTGTGTACAAACTTGAATGCTCCTGCAAAAAATGTTATATCGGTGAAACAAAATTAAAAATCTCATCTTGCATTTACCAACATCAAAAAAATACATACGAAAGAAATTGGGATTACTCAGCCATAGCGGAGCATTCAAAAAATTGTCATGGCAATTTTACATGGAACAATAAAAATACCTTAAAAGTAGAGTTTAATAATTTTAACAGAAAAGTGAGGGAAGCGCTTGAAATACAGCGCCATGAATGCTCACCTTCAGACGGCGGTCTAAATCAGGAAGACGGAGGTTACGTCACAGCTTCCTTTTGGAAACCTATGTTTCGATATTTAAATGAAAAGAAAGTATTGCATTGATTTGTTTTTGTTTTTGTTTTGTATTTAACGGTTTTTTATATATATTTATATACTTGACAACGAGGGTATCAATAATCCCTTGAAATATTGTATAAAAATTAATAAAGAGTTACATCCATAATAGAAGTTTTAATTTCATTAGTCAATAAAATGTATATTCCAGACTTATTTGGAATACTAGCACCTAGTAAAATACAATGAAGACAGTTAGCTCCATTTTCTTTGCTAGAATAAGTCTTTTTGTATTATTAGATATTGGAAAATCAATAATATTAAGATTGCCTGTTTTGAACGAAATGTAGGTAGACATAGTAGACTAGGTTTTTATAGTAAATTTTGATGAAACTAGGGTTTTAAGTTAAACAGTTAAAACGGCTGTTAAATATTTTTTAATGGAAAAGTAGGATAATAGTAACAAGTTTATTGCATGAAAATATAATTACAAACTAAATATAATTAAATGTGTTAAATATTTAAATGTAAGAATTGTGTAATTAAAATGCATTACAAATGCATCTTAAAAATTAGTTAATTTTTAAATATAGAATAGTTTCGAAAAGTCTTTGAAATAAAACCATTTTATCTAATTTGAATTAACTCACGGCTTTTTCTGTTTTCCAAAATAAATAAATAAAATTTTTTCAATTAAAAACATATTTGGATTTTTTTCATAGTAGTCATAGTAATTTGTAATAAATATAAGTTGAAATTTTAAAAATTTAAGTCAATTCATAATATTATTTGTACTTTGCATATTAATCATTTTTGATTTTGAAAAGGTTCTAAAAATGAGACCGTTATGATCTTTAATTACATACCGTTGTTTGTACTATTTTATATAGTCTTTTTTTTATTTAATACTATAAAAGGTGTTGTATCAATAGACAATTATTCAAGAATCTTTTTAATTAGGGACTTTCATAAGGGGTGGTTTCGGCATATGAGATTTCGACGCCATCTTTATAGGGGATAAATGCACATAAACAAAACCAATCTCAGTTGTTAAGAGAATGTTTTTTTCAATTAAGAAGATACAACGGATAATTTTAAATAAAAAACATTTTTATAAATTGATTTTAGACCATTGCTCATCTACAAGTTGCACCTTACACGAGTTGCGGATCAAAATATATAAATTTAAACAATATCTTTTCCGTGAATAAAAACTAAAATATAAGGTATAATGACGTTTTGCAGTCGAAGTTTTCTTGGATCCTACTAGCATCCCGCCTTCAACTATCTCTAAAATCAGAGGAGACTCAATGGATCATTTTATCACTTCATCTAATTTTATAAATTATACTTTATAAGAAAAAGCAGTTTAGGACAGACAGGAAAACTGACTTTTAAAACGGATTTTAGATCACCCGATGTTCACGTTGCTTGTTAGTTATAAAAATTTTATGGAGGAAAATTCTACCAGCTGCAGTTTTATTTATAAATAAGATTCCACCGATATTTTATTTTTAATTGCTGATTTCAATAATGTTATTTTTGAACTATTGGTTTCAAAAAATATTGATATGTCCTTTTATTGTTATTATTTATAAAAAACTTTCATGAAGCAAAAAAAAAAAAAAAATATCATGAGTTCAAAAATAATGTTGTCATAGTAAAAGGCTTATTTTCTATGACCTTGTCTAACCAAATCAAAATTATTTCAGTACGTCTTGCTTTTAAAAAATGAACACAAAACAGTTATTGTCATAAACCTAGAAAGCTAGAAATTCCAGAGAGATGTTATAAAAATATAAAATAATATAAAGTCAAAAATGGAGGAAATAAACTCTTGAATTGCATTGTTACAATGTTTTATCTTCACGTGTAAAATCTACATCACTATCTCTACTATCCCTTTATAAAAATGCCTTCTTTTCAATGCTTTTTCTTTATAAAAATGCGTCATTATTATGTTAAAGAAAACTAAACTTATAAAACTAACTTCTTCAGATTACAAAAAGTTTACTGTGAAAAGTAATATTATTTGTATAATGGAAAAAAATTATACTGCTACAAAATATTCAGCAGCATATACAAAGAAATTTAACTGAATTAAATATTACCATTGAGAAAATATACAAAACTGATCCTATTAAATATATAGATTATAATAAAATTTAGAAAAATTCAGACTCATGGCGAAACAAAGTAACTTGAGTCGAAATTCTTGTTTTGCGTGTTCTGGAAAAAATTCAAAAGCCTATTGTACCACACTAGTTTTCAATATCTGGTATTAAATAATATAGATACGCAAATATTGCTGAAAAAACACAACTTCCTTGTGCTGAAATACCATTATGCATCAAATACCATAATACTTATTCAGTTTGTGTATTATTATAGTGAGGGTGCTGAAATTAAAATTTGTAGTTTGAAATTGTGTTGAACTTTTTGAAATTGTGTTCTGTCTATAGTCATTTAAGTTAAAGGATATCCATCCTTGACAAATATTTTGCGAATTCTTTTTCAATAAATAAGATAATCTGGTTGAAGTACTACATTTTCAAATAATGGCACAGAATACTATCTATGCAACAAAAAATATTAGTTGTGCATTTGGAAACTGGTAAAACATGGGCCATAACAACCAATGCATGAATACAAGTTATTAAAAATAAAATAATTTAGTTATTGTATCTATAGCTCAATTACCAGTGCCTTTACAACCTTAATACATAATAGTAAATATGGACTAGTAATATCAAATAAAAAATTGCAGTTAGATAAAAGGTATTTTCATTATAACGGATTATTTTTGAATAATGTATCAGGTTTTAATAACTTTGTTGATAAAGATTTACTTTTCACTTTAAATAATAATTGGTTGCTAAATTTTGGGAGAACTTTTACTTTTATAAACAGACTCTTTTTTTTTTATAGTATCTTTCTGCATTACCTTTTTCTTGTCAAATTATGGTTTATTTTTTTATAATGAAGAAAATAAAAAAACTAAAATATTTTATCATTGTTTAGTCTATTATATTAGGATAACATATTTTGAAACTATTCTTTAAGAAACCTTTAAGATGATAGGAAATAGTAGGAGGAGTTTCTTGAAGATTCGGGTGGTTAGCAATATCTAGTTTTATTGTATATCAATTCTATTTATATCTATCGGAAGATTTTGATTCGTGAATGATTGAAAAATTAACTAATAATAATTAATTCAAAAGTAAATCTTTATCAACAGATGAAATTAGTCTCTTTGAATTCAATTTTTCATTTTTTGCATAAACTTTTATGAATAAAATACTGTATTACTGATATAGATTATAGATGTTACCTATATCTGAACTCTAATCTTTATAAAATTAATCCGTTCGACCAATTTATGGAAGTTAAGAAGATTGAACTAAAACAAAGTATTATGCAATAATACTTTATTTAAGTCCCATCTCCTTTTTTTTTGTACCAACGTTATTGTAACATAAACTTGAAGCATAAAACCACTTTATATTGTTAATATCTTTGTAGTAATAGTTATTTCAACAAAAAACACCAAAATTTTGACAATCATAATCATTCACAAAATCTAAAACAACGAAAAACCTTTTATAATTAACTAAACAAAGCCGCCATTTCGTTCATTTATCCCCTATTAAAAAGTCAAACATTAAAACCGCACGCTGTGAAAGTCCCTAATTACTTTTTTGATCACAGGCTGTTTTTAGTGAGGATTTTTGTTAGATTTTTAGACAAAAATTTCTGTTCTTTTTCTTTTTATTAATTCTAACGGTGTTACTATAGTGGTCTCGATTAACCAGCCTTAAGTATATGTATGTCATAGTTATAACTTAAAAGGTTTTTATTTCATTTTACGGCATGTTTTGTTTCTTAAACTAGTTAAATAATTTTTATCATAAACATAAAACACTAAACTTTAACATTAAATTTTATTTAGAAATGTTTGAAATAAAAGATGTAATCACTATCGAACAAAACAACATAATAGCTGTATTAGAATCATTACCAAATGAATTCGAAATATCTTTTGAAGTTTATTTTACTTCTTTTTTGGATCAATGGTCAAACGTAATTCGTTTTACAATAGGAGGTGATGTTGATACATACGGTGACAGAATTTTTAGTTTTTTTATTTTAAATACACTTATCCAATTCAGTGCATCAATCAATGGTGAGACTGACTATATAATTCGTTTTTTACCACTTTTTAATTTGATGGAGTGGAACAAAGTTTCAGTTAGTCAGTTTTTGGAGAATGGAGTTTACAACTTTGTTATCAAAAAAGATGGAGTAATTATTACTACACTACAAAATAACAATGTACAACCTTTTGAACATGTAAGAGTATATGCCAGTGATCCCTGGCATCTTGCACAGCCAGGATACATAAGAAACTTAATCGTGACAAATATAAATACGAGTAAGAGTTTAATAATTTTACTTTAAAAAAATTTAAATCAGGAGTTCAACAAAAAACTTTTTAACAATTAAATTCTGTTGTCAAGAGAACTAAACTTTAAGACTAAATATTTTAAAATATTTCTTAATAAATTCAAAGTTTTTAAAATACTCATAAAAGCATACATTACTTTGAATCATTATTTCGGTATTTCTAAACTAACCTCTATGAATTATCTCAATTAGCTTGAGACCTGAGTGTTAACAAACAAAAAAGTTTAAAAGTTTTTAAAAAGTTTAGTCATTAATTACAAACAAATATTTGTTAACAATTAATTAACAAATATTTGTTAACAAAAAATTAAAGCTGCTGATTCATTACATACTAATGCTTATCATGGTGTAGTAACATTGTGATATGGTTTATATAGAGGTGTTTTATGATTTACTTTAGTTAAAAACATGTGGTTATGTTTTGATACAATTTTAAAGTGGTAATGTTGTAATATGGTTAATAAAGATGAGGTTATGTTGCGAAATGGTTTATAAGGGTATAGTTATGTCATTGAAATGACACAGCTTTAATTTTTGTAAAAATTTATCAAGTTTAAAATTTAAGTATCAACTAGTACATTTTATTTCAAAAGTAAATTCAAGTAGCAGTTCCGTGAAACAAAACCTTTTTTTTTATGCAAATGATATAATTTTAAGTATTTATTTTTGGCTACAAAGTTGCGAAATAATAACGTTTTATTAGAGACGTCTTGTTTTCCAAAAGCTATTTAAAGCCATTTTGCTATTGCATTTCTCATTACAAATCTATTTAAATTAAAATCTGAGCTGCTTGGTCAAGATTTAATATCAGTTTTTATTGTAACCATATATTTAAAAAATAATTTTTATTTGTCCATAGTAAAATAACAAAATTTACAACTTATTTAAAGTTAAAAAGTTGTTATTAATTAATAATTAACTCGGCTAGCTGAAATATTTTTAAAGCTATTATAAACCTAAAATAAGCAATAAAAAAAGATCTCTTCTTAGTATAAATCGTTTGGATTCGATGCGCTAAATAGGGTAAATGGCAAACACTGATCTTGCGCTCCTCTCTGAAAATAGGTTGCTTCCTTTTTGTTTTCAAAAGCTTTCAAAAAAACTTCCTTCAAATTAGCTTAAAAAGCACACGAATTAAATATAATATTATTTCACTAGCTGTCATGACCGGTAAAATACGGGTCTTGGTAAATCTATTCCACACCGACCTTTTCTTTACTTATTCCTCACCTCAATATGTTTTAGTAAGCGGTAGAAAAATAATTATATACATATATAAAAACTATACTTATTGTTTACTTTTTAAAGCTATAAAATAAATTTTTTATTATAATTAACTTTAAAAAACTTTAAACGTTTTCGTAGACGTTACGTGAATCGCTATTTATCAATGAATTGGACATCAGTACCAGTGTAAATAAAATTTAGAACACCCGGTTGAAATGCTAATTAATTACTATTGCTTTAAAAAGTTTTAAAAAACATGAGATGAGTTAAATATGCGGAATAACGGAATTACCATAACCAGTAATATTAAAATATCACTGGTCAACGTAAGTCTATTCCACGCCTACCATTTAATAATTTCGCTTTATTTTAACAATTATTAAAAAAGAACATAATACAAAAATCTTTGGCGAGTAGCTTTTAATATTTTACAAATTCTGTAATTTTTAATAATAATAATAAAAAAAAAAAAAAAAAATACGGGGGCGGACCTTATTATTATTTTTTAATTTCTTTTAATTTTTTCTCTTTTTTTTCCAGTCTATCTGAAGCATGTGAGGACTGTTGCCCTGCTAATTTTAATTAAAATTAAAGTTCCGACGCAAAATCTTTTTTCTAAAAGAAAGAAGGTTGTCTGTTTAATGCGTACCCTTAATCAATTACAAAGCACATTAAAACGTCAACTCTATCATGACATATAGGCAACAAATTTCTAACGATGTTTTCATGTTTTTAGAAATTTTAAAGAGCTTTTTAAAAAATTCTCTCCCTTTTGTTTGTTTTAGTGTATAATATCTTTATATATGTTATGCATATAATATCTATAGACTTTTAAAAATGTTTTACTATGTATTCTAGAAAATTGGAAAAGATTTAAAAAATGTTAGGTCTTAAAACCATAGGCATATAACGTGCTGGGGCTCGGTGGCTCAAGCCCCATCCGGAATTTTTTCGCTGGAGCTTTGCAAATTAACAAAAATACATAAACTAAAGAGTTGTGTGGTTTAAACGTTCGTTTAGTATTTTTTTTCTTTGATAAATTAAGCAGTATTATTTGTATTAATTATTTATAAGTTTTGAGTTAAAAATCATTTGAATTAAAAAAAACATAAGTTTTTTGAAGAAATTTTTTAATTGTTCAACAGTACATAGACTTTTAAGTAATAAGTTGTACAACTTGTAAAATGAAGAAGATTATTGAATCCTTTTTGAAAAGAAAACCAAATTAAAGCAGTTGCATTTATTTCTGAATCTCAAAATGCTTATAACTTCCAAGATAATACTCATGAAAGTTTATCATTTGATCAGTCAGATGATGAATCTGATTCAACCGCTGTTGTTGAGTAGCTGTCTTTTACAGAGGAGCCTCCATCAAAAAAGGGAAGAAAATTTAAACAAAGCTGGAATGAAAAATATAAGTTGGTTTGTTTAAGTATAAGTTGGAAAAATACAAGAAAAAAGATTCGTACGAAGCTTTTATTCTAAACGGATTTTCTATTTGGAAGATAGCGTTATAAGTTTTTGGTTCTCACGAGCAATCTTTTTTTGAGCAAACATTTGATTCTCACGAGCAAATCCTGTGACAGTGGTTTAGCATTTGTGTCGGTGGAAGCGTATAGGTAAACGCACCAACATTTGATAATATTGGCTTCACACACAGTGACACCATCATTTGGCTTTCTAAATTCTTCTACACAATCTTTTAAACACCCTTGAAGTGCATTTGGATGTAGCTAGTGCAATCGTATTCTTTTTATTTTTGTTTATTTATTAATTAATTAACAATTAAGATTAGCATAATTGTATGATACATTTGAGTAACAAGATTCAGTGATCGTAAAGATGCAAGTATGATACAAAACGCATTTGTTTATCAAGAATATTATGATATTATTGTTTTCGCTTGAGTCATGTGGTTCAGAAGAATTAGTATTTTAATTCAAGCCATTAAGGCCATAACTAAAGAAAAGTTCAAAATTTGTATTTATTTTTGTTTTTTCTAAAATCTAAATTAAGTTCAAAGTTCTTCAACAGCGGTTCTCAGTGGCAAGACCTGTATGATCTTCTTTGAGTATCCGCGTTCTTTATCTTTATTCTTTATTTTTTAACGATTTCTTTGCATGCAATTTTTGTTATTGATATATTTGTAAATATTGTATTAAATATTGTAATACAGATCAAAAAAAAAAAAATCTGAACTCCATAGGGCGTATGTTAGTACGATTTTTTTTCCCCCTTACTTGTTTAGCTTTACAAATATTTACAAGTTCCCTGTTTTATAATATATATAAAAATGGCAAGGACGAGAAAAAGACAGGTCTGCCTTATCACCAAGTCCCTTGTTTTTCAAGACATTTATATAAATGCGTTGTAACTAAAATTAAAAATTAAAAATGAGAGAAAAAAGCAAAATATTTCAAAGAAGTTTATACAAAATGCAAAATAGTTTAAAGTGGTCTTATACTAAAAAAAATCGATTTTTTAAAAATTGCATATTCTTGAAGCCCAAACATTTTACATTCTAAATATAGATCATTAAAGGGAGTGAATTTAAAAATGCTCTAAAATAGCTAGTTTCATAGAGAAGTTAAATAATTTTCTTAGCAACGGCCATAGCAACGGGTTGTTTATATTAGAAAATAGGTTTTTTAGAGTGTTGCGCCATTTACTATAAGTTTTTGACATTGGTGCCAGTTACTGTTTCATGTTTATTTTTCTAAATAAGCCATAATTTTTGAGTACAATTACTATATTTACATATATTACTTATAGAAAAACTATCAGCCTCGTGTAATACTTTATTTGCCTCGTGTTTATTTTTGTTATTGGAAAAATTAAATGTGATTCAAATTTAAAAAGGAAAACAGATGGTAACAGGATTTTCAAAAAAAAAAATACTTTAGGGGAAATCAATTTTCCTCAGCATCAACAATCAGCATTAATTTAACTTCTCAATCGGAAATCACTGAATCAAAAATTTTGACATCAACATCATCAAAAAAGTTATCACATAGTAAAAATAGTTATGCAAAAATTAATGATTCAATTAAATTGCCTTCATGCTTTATACTTATTGACACAGACATTTTAAAATCAATTGTTACTTTGATTGGACATTGTCCTCAATGCCATAACAATTCAATTAAAATCTCAGCTGATTTATCAAAAAAGAAAAGCTTGGCAGTATTTTTAAACATTTCTTGTGCAACATCTTCGTGCAATTGGAAACAGTCTTTTTATTCGAGCAAAAAGATTGAGAAGCAAGGTCCAGGAATGTCATCATTTGAAATAACTTATAGATCTGTTGTTGCAATGAGAGAGATAGGAAAAGGTCATTCTGGTTTAGAGAAATTTTATGATTAATGAACTTACCTCCTCCAATGAACATATGAGCATTTAATGATATTCAAGATAAAATTCATATCATATACCAAAGTGTAGCTGATGTGAAAATAAAAAATGCAGCAAATGAATTTCGATATCTTAACAACAATATCCAATTAAATGATTTTGATATAAATGTAATAGCTAATGTTGTTGTTTCCTGTTATGAAACTTGGCAAAAAAGAGGTCATTCCTCACTTAATGGTGTTGTTACTGTTATTGCTAGTGACTCAAGGTGTTGTTACTATTGGTTGGTGTTGTTACTGTTATTGCTAGTGGTGTTGTTACTGTTATTGCTAGTGACTCATGTGTCGGCTATCGAGTTTTTTCAAAAATATGCAATGCCTTTACATCATG